GGCCACTCCACCCAACTCCCAGGCCACTCCACCCAACTCCCTGGCCACTCCACCCAACTCCCAGGCCACTCCACCCAACTCCCAGGCCTCTCCATCCAACTCCCAGGCCCCTCTGTCCAGTTCCCAGGCTTCTCTGTCCTGTTCTCAGGCACCTCCATCCAGTTCCCAGGACCCTCTGTCTGGTTCCCAGAATGTGTTCAATACAGACACATCAGCTTCTCAGGGGCTATGTGACCCCACATGGAAGGGAGGCAGTAGCCAGGGGCAGCAGGTGCCCAGGAGTCTCAAAATCAAGGCCTCATGGAAGAGTCACAACAAGATGTTTGGGCCTCTTGACAAGAGAGAGCGCTATGGGAGGCCCAAAGCAGGGGAGCAGAAACCAAGGTCTGCAGTACCCAGGGCCTCCCAAGCTAGTGGGCTAAGCCACCCTGCCCAGTTCAGGGAGATGGGAGAAACCTGGAGCAAACACTTTCAGTTCCTTCCAGAGAAAGGACAGAAACCTCTAAAAAGCTGCTCCAAACAGCAGAAAACAGTCAGTCATGGCCTGTGGGGTCTTGACCCCAGTGAAAAAGGCAGAAGGCAGGAAGATCCCCTGCAGAAGGGCAAGCCTAAATCAGTCACTGCCCAGAGCCGGGGGACAGCCACAGGAAGGTTGTCCAGCAGTGCTCCTCAAGTCCAGGCAATTGTTTCACTTGTCACACAGATCCTAGTGGACAAACTGGGGCTTTGTCAAGGACATGGTCAAGATTTCAATCACCACAAAGAGGAAATCCGAGCCCCAGTGGGTGGGCATTCCTGCCACCCCTGGGGTCCCTCCCAGCCAGAGCAAAGGAGAGTATTGGAAGAGAAGGCCTACAGTCACCATGCCACCCCCATGGGCCACTGCCGTTCTGTTGAGAACAGGTGGGTCCGAGACAGAGACAGCTATTTGGCCTCCCATCCCAGGGAGCCTGTGCCCTCAGCCAGTCCCTGCCAGCATGGGCTAAGGGTGGCAAGAGCCTTGAACCACCCTCACTATTAGCCAACATGCTTGTCTGGTCAACCTCATCATGCTTCTCATACCTTCCCTGGTGGAAAAGGTTTTTCTCCCAGAAAAAACTGGAGAGATGCAGAGAAAACCTGTTTTGCTCATGTTAGTACATCTTGCTACTAGAACATGTATTTCTTCCCAATAGAAGTGCCTTTTCTCATCAGAGGTGGTGGCTTCTGTCTGTGGGGTGCTGGGGTCAGGGAAGGGATCAGCATCCACTCTCCCTGACAATGGCCTCTGGAAGGGACGGGCGTGACGGGCTTGCAGACCTACCCTTACTGCAGGGGCTTCACTGCACCTGGTTTCATGACTCACTATAGAGAGCCTTGGGACTGTCAGGGCTGGCAAACCCTAGGGAGACCCCAACCAAGGACCTGAGTCACCCCCTTCCTTTCTCTCTGCCCAGAGCTTTGTGATGAGGGCTGGAAATTCCCCTTGGGCTCCAGAAATGTGGGAGCCCAGCAGCCCCACTGCCTTGAAAAGGACCTGGAACTTCCAGGGCTGGGAGCACTGGCCTGGGGTTCTCGGAAAGGGAGAGCTCCCTGACCCCAGAAACAGACCATCCTGCCTGAGCCCCCTCCCAGCCTGCTGGAGGCTAGGGCCAGATGGGCCCTGCTGGCCCCTTTGGGCTCAGCCTTGGTGACAGCAGCCTCCCTTCAGGACCTCCACCTTCCCATCTGGTGTGACCTGAGCATGGAGCCATCTGGCCACGGCACACAAGAGGAGGGTGGCATGTGTGGGGAAACTATGACTCAGAATCGAGTAAGGTGGCAGAGTGGAGGGGGGCTCTAAGTGTTCCCCCAGTGGCCTAGGGGAATAGGTAAGAAGCTCCCACATGGAGAGTGGGACCAGGGAACACAAAGCCCTCACACGGAAAAGCGACTTTGCCCACAGCACAGGTGAGCACCCTGCCGCCAACCCTATGGAACTCTACAGAAAGGAAGAGTGGACACAGGGTGGGGCACCACCGTGACCATTACAGGCATGTGTCCCAGTGCTACACCTGGGTACGGCACTTGGAGGGAGGGCTAGCCGTGGTCCACAGTGAATCTTTGGTTATCCTGGGGTGTAGGAGAGGAGGTGATGGAGGGAGACACATGAGGGCTGGGTGGTCACAGCTCCCAGTAGAGTCGGCAGAGTTGGGTACTGCATTCAAGCTCCCTCCAGCACAAGTTTTCCCTTCTGGGCCATTTTGGATGCCAAGAGGCCAAGGCAGATGGGCAGGATCCTTTCTCCAGAGGGTTCCCTCTGGGGCTTCAGGCTGGAGAGAGTTGGGTGATGGAAGGGCTGCTGAGGTAGAAGGTCAGGGCACAGGGCACAGGTTGGAGAGTTGGGCACAGGCCCAGGGCCGCTCCTGGGGCCGCTCCTGGGGCCGCTCCTGCCTCCTCCTGGTCAGGCAGCCTAGGGGGCAGCAAGGGGCAGTGATAGGGTTGGGAAGCTCAGCAGGTGTTCTACATCTGTGGGAGGAGAAAATTTCTCTAGGTTACGATTAGGATACAACAGTAGAGACTTTATTTCATCCTAGAGAGAGGGAGAGGTGAGAGAGGAAAAGAGCAGAGAGCAGGGAGCTGGCAGCACCCCAAGGAAAGAAAGAAGCCCACAGTTGAGGTCAAGCAGTTGCTGAATTTAAGGGAGAATGAAAAAGATAACTGCAGCTGGATTCACAAGGAATTGTGCGTGTGATTGCTGTGGCTGGTTTTCCTCCAGCAAAGATGAAGACAGACATTTTTCCAGGTGTTTCTAATCCCTAGGCCTAATGGGTCATACTCTATTGTTGCTCCTGCACAGGAATCACTTGAGGCTGTGGGAACAAATTCTAAAAGACAAAGGAGCTGGGGAAATGTAAAGAGAGGATTTTATTTTTCCTTTTGGTCTTCTGGCTCCTCAGTGCCTTGAGAAAACAGAGATCCATGGAGGGTGGGGGGGCTGCTGGCAAGAGATAGGAGAGAAAAAGATTGATTTATTCCTTCCTGAAAAACTGTGAGTTAATAACTTTTCTATGATTTCAATATAAAGAATGTCCATTCTCACCAAGACACAGTGCCAGGCTAGAGTGCTCAGCAAAACTAGTACAGATTAAGCAGGTACCGGCATTCTTCGGGGTGCCTCAGCACTCTCTTTTCTTGAGGCAGCCAGCTCAGATCAGCCCTGACTGCTTTAGAGCTGCCCTGCCTGTCCTACAGTTCCCCTTAGCTAATCGTGATACTAAGACTCCTTGCCTAGTGGAGAACTGTAATATCATTAAGGACATGTGAGTTGTGGGAAGGCGCCTGACAAAGGCACAGGTTGTGCTCGGTTTGTTTCACTGTAACATACAATGGCGTGTGAGGGTTTTGCAAACTCACTGGGAAGGGGTTTAAGGCAACTCCCCAGGCAGACAGGTGCAGACAAGTGCAGACCGGGGCAGACTTTGCCTGTAAGAAGGTCCCATGAGTGCCTTTCCCAGTAACCTCTGATAACCTCACCTAACTCACTGTCAATGGGAAACAACCCAAAGTCTGTAAAACAATTTGAAGAGGTTTATTTGACACTGGAATAGTGGCTCATGTCTGTAATCCTAGCACTGTGGGAGGCCAAGGTGAGAAGATCGCCAGAGCTCAGGAGTTCCAGACCAGCTCGAGCAAGAGCAAGATCTGTCTTTAACTAAAAATAGAAAAACTAGCCGGGCGTTGTGGCAATGCCTATAGTCCCAGCTACTCAGGAGGCTGAGCCAAGAGGATCGCTTGAGCCCAAGAGTTTGAGCTATGATGCCATAACACTCTACCCAGGATGACGGTGTGAGACTGTTTTAAAAAAAACAACAAAAAAAAGAGGTTTATTTGAGCCATGTTTGAGGTGAGGACAGTGGCCCCACCAGAGCCATGCCCAACAAGCCATGAGGAAGTGGACTCCTGTAGTGGGGTTACCCATTGTTTTTTTACGTGATTTTTTTCTATGATTTCAATATAAAGAATGACCATTCTCACCAAGACACAGTGCCAGGCTAGAGTGCTCAGCAAAACTAGTACAGATTAAGCAGGTACCGGCACTCTTCAGGGAATACCTGACAGGAATTACAGGTAAACTCATGAATCAATAAATACACGGAAGGCACATATTGGTTTAGCCCCCAAAGGTGGAAAATCTCAAAGCAGAGACTTATAGGTTACATGTGGGTTTAAAGATTCTTTGATTTGTAATTGGTTAAAAAAATGAAACTTTGCCTAAAGGCTTAGAATGTTTTAAGATAAGGGCCTCCTAATCAAAGAGAGCCACTAGACAAATACCCAGACTCAAGTAATTTGTTAAGCAAACTGATGACCTGCAGGTGTGATTGAAGCTTTGTCTTGCCAGCCATAGGCCTGTTACAGAGTTACAAAGGACATCTTCAAGAAGGGAGGGGAACATGATGAGGCAGGTCTGGTCTCCCTTCTCATGGCCAGCAACTGAACTTTGGGGCATTTCCAGGGTCCTCTTGGATAAGAGGGGATCCATTCAGTCACCTGGGGAGCTTAACATTTTATTTTAGTTCAAATTCTCTTTTTTTTGGCTAAGATCTGCCAGAGGCAGCATCAATGGCCAAACTCTTGATTTTATCCCATCATGCTGGGGTGGTGTGGCTACATGCCTTGGGTCCACTCAGGCCCTTGGTAGGATCCCTGTGGCCAAGAGGACATAAAAGCCAAAAGGACTTACAGACAATTAAATGTTTTAGGTCAGATAAGACTGGATATGGAGAGGCACTCATCAATCCTTTAATACTTTCTAGGCAACATACAAGTAAAATAAAAAATGTCAAAGGCAAGGCTACAAAATTAATTCATCTGCTGGGCTACTATATTCTTGAGTTTAGTTGTAGACTTGTCAGAGTGGGAGTCCTTGAGAGGCATAGAGCTGCTGAGGAAAGGCCAGGACACACTCTGCAGCCCTGAGGCTGGGGGAGGGTAAGAAGCTTCTGGAGGAAACAAGGGCTTCCAATGAGTGTCCAAGAAGGGGCTGCCAGGACATGGGTCCAGATATGGCCCTTCCCAGATCTCTGTTTCCCATCTAGAAAATGGGTGGTGGCAGTGGTGTCATGAGACTAAATGAGACGACACACTCAGTAGCCCTGGCAGAGTCCTCTCAGGCCTCAGTCACCCAGCTGCCTCTGTGGTGAGAGATGACAGGCTGGCATCCCTCAGCTCCCTGGCACTGGGATAACATCCACAGCTGTCCACTCAGAGTGCAAGGAAGGGCCGGTCACATTGGCATGCTCGTGCAGCAGGCATACATTTACCACATGACCTTCGAGCCTTGTCTGGTCTCTCCTCACACTTTCCTTAAGTGGTCCAGGATGTGTGCACCAAAGATCATTCCCCTGCTCCCCCACCCTTCCCAGGAAGGTACTGAGGACCTGGATGCTCCTGTGGACCACACAGAGACAGCTGAGCAAAGCCATGACAGGTCAGACCTTCCAGGAAGGAAACAAGCCTCCCCAACCCCTCAGAAGCAGTGACCTTCCAGGAGGCTGAGCCATGTACCTGCCAGCCCAGGACTGGCCACAGTGAAAAGTCCCCTTGCCACAGCTGGGTTCTACGGAGGTCTGAGTGAGAATCCTGCACTGCTATGATAGGGCCACAGTGAAAGGTCCCCTTATCACAGCTGGGTTCTGCTGGAGGTCTGAGTGAGAATCTTGCACTACTATGATAGGGCCCCATTAGTCCTTTTAGGAGATAGGAGAAGTGGACACCAGAGGGACAATTACCAACTAACCATGCCTAGAGGCATCAGTGTCTGCCTTGGCCATACATTGCAGCCAACGCAGAGAGTCTCAGGGCTGGGCCAGGTCACATAGTCAGGTGGCGCCCTTCCAGGCTTCACACATTGGTTATGGACTTTGAGTCCTGGTTGTGACTGGGATGTCAGGGGCCCTGTGGCAACACCAGGCCTCCCTCAAGCACTTGCGGTTTGGGAGGGCTGGCAGGAGGCTATGCCCTAAGTTTATTTGGTGTGGGGCTGGGGACCAATTCAGG